CTGAGTTCCATCTTCCTGGCGTCCTTGTGGTCCTGGCGGATACCTTACCACACCTCAGTGCTCATAGAGGGTTAAAGATGGGGCTATTAAGCATATTAATGTATTGAATATGAAAACTCAACAAATGGAAAGCTTTCCGCTGCAGAAAACAACACCAAATAGTTGATTAACATTTTCCGCGGCGATGAATTAAATCCGCGGAGATCTGCGATGATTTCGCTTTAATTGATAAGAGGCAGCATCGATGCAAATAATCTTTTTGGTTCCTTGACTCGTTGCGAGCCTCGATTGTCACTCCATAATGCGTTGTCTCCTTTTTCCCATTTAAAGCATTTATTGCCGGATTCATTAATATCTGATGACACTTTTATGTTGCGCCATGTCAGCTCAGTTTATAATACAGCTTCATACGGCGGGGTAATTGCCATTTACCGATGCGTTTAATAATGTCCAAGATCGTTATTATCGCACTGTCGCCAAATTGCGCACTAAATTAGTTATTGGTATTTCGCTTAACAAGAAAAATAACCATCTTCGGGGCAATTCAAACGCAAAGTCCTTGGCATTCTCGTCCTTGCAAAAACTTCCATAACAGACCATTACACTGGCAAAGCTGTTTGCCGTCCTTAGCTGCTGGTGCAATTGCATTAGGGAATGGCCACATCCCACATCCCATCCCGCTGGACCCACCACACATATACACATATAATATTTATTGCACTTTTGTTTACCAGGCGGCGGGCGTGTTAATTTAGTAAATCTGAAAGCTTGAGCTTAAAGCTGGCTGTCGAAATTTATGCGACCTTTAGAATTCAACAGCAAACCTATCGGATGAGCTAAGTGCGTTATCATGGCTTATCCGCTCATCCCGTCCGAGAGTCCCCGATCCACTTAGGGTCCTGCGAATGTGGAGTCCTGCTGCTTGCTTTATAGCCAGCCGCCTGCCGAGTGTGACACACGTCCACACATTTATTAGCATATTGGCAGCAGCCAACTCCCCGCCTAATGATGCAGAAATGTAAAACAACTGGGACTCGGAGCCATGGAGCCGTGGAGCTCCATTTCAACGGTTCGCCAGCACTTCTCCAGCTCATGTGGAGCGCAGAGGGATTGTCATTGGCAATTGTGATGTGGCATACTGATTTTGTTATTCTACGAGGTGACTCCGCGTGACGTACGCGCTTTTTTATCTCGCAAACGTGCTGCGAAATCGAAAACTGCAAAATAATCGGGGTGCAGAACTATCACTGGAAATGCTTATTCATCGCCATCAAGTTTGGTCCACTTTGCCGGATATTTGTGTGGAAATTTCGCAATAAAAGCAAGAGTCATGAGCGATACTTTAAAAACCTGTAATATTGGCACTGAATATTGGCCCTGCCAATATGAATTGTGAATTTTCCCTCTGTCTCTCAAGATCTGCGACTTATTGGTGAGATTTTCCACCCTTCTGCGGAATGCGCAAGTTGCCAACAGTCGAAACTCGAGTCATGCCAAGGATTTCTCTGGAGGAGTATGCCCTTAACTCAAGTATTGGAGCTAAGTGTCTAAAGTTTCCACTGAAACTTTTCTTTTTGGCAGCCAAGTGGCGAACAGTACAGCTTAACGCCACGATTCTGACGTTAAATAAATTGAAATTTATGGAAATGTAGCCAAGACGTAGCCTCTTTCAACAATATACTTTATTTATAATTACACCCCTCTGCTTTTTTCATAATTCAATCGTGAATACACTTTTGCAGTTCATCTTATGATTGACTTCTACGCCCGCCTCTTGATGAATGCCAAAATAAATACCAATTTATTCACCTACTTGGCCAAATTGAATTACACGAAATAGGCTTATGTCTGCGAAAAATGAAAGGTAAATTCAATTCTGTGGAAATGGCTTGCAATTTGGCAGCAAATGGAAGCAGAACATGGAGAAGGTGGGATTCAAAATACATATTTCACGGGAAAAGTAATAAATCTTTTGTTGGCATTATAAATCTATTTAAAAGATGTTGGCCTACTTGTTTATTGCCTTTTGCGGTTAAATATATACCTTAACAAAATGAATCAATGAATAAAATCTGCCACCTGCCCAGACAATTTTTCAGCACCTCTTCATTCCCCTTTTATTTAAGTTAAAAGTGCCCTTCGGAATGCATGAATGCATTTCGAGGGACATTCAAATAGAATCAGCCTGAAGTGAAAGGCAAACGCGTGAATAGTTGGCTGATTAAACGAGTGCCTAAAACACTTAACAAATGCGCCAAGTGCCCTCGAACTGCTTTCTCTGAATATTTTGAGTGCCTTGGAACGAGCTGAGTGCTTATCCATAGCGACTAGAGTGAAACAATTCGTGGTGCACTGCTGGCTTAACCATTTTCCATGCGACGTGCCAACAGTTTTTGGCCACATTATCGCACGCCATAACATTATAATGCACTCATACGCAGCTTGGGCCAATAGCAGGCGCATCATTTGGCTCATAAGCGACTATTTCATTAGGCCAGTCTGCGAAATATGCGCTGGGTGAGCAGAAAGTTGCGCCACGAATGGAAGCAGCACTTAGCAAAAACTAAAGATAAACATCATTTCAATTTGCTGCCACGAAATGTACTCCGCCATGTCAGTTTTGGCTATTGTAGCCACGTCTTTAATGACGGAAGCCGCTCGAAGTTCGACATGCAATTAATGGCGTTGGCCCAAACTGTTTTGGTTACCTCAGTTTACCTAGTGGGCACCACCATGCTGCTCGTCCACATAAATCTCCCTGCATATTTTCACCCGAGGAGCGGCACAAGTTAAAAACTTTGCAGCAACAGTGCCATGCCAGGCCATTCATTAGCATGCAAATTTGAAAATTTATCAGCTGGTGGTCTACGCTCCTGCACTGAGAACAAAATACGCAGCAAAAAACTAGCAATAGAAATAAAGATATAAAAATAAGGCCGTACTTGACTATCAACCTAAGAACATTACATTACAAGCACCAATTCCTTAATATTTTGCCCTAAAAGTATTTCAAATGGCGCCGCACTTTCGCTGAGTGCCTTCAAACTTGCTCTCATGGTGCAGATCCTGGTTGTGGTCCTGGTTTGGGCACTGGTCCTGCTCCTGCTCCTGCTCCTGCGAGCGGAACTAACCCACACTCCTTGGAGCGAGCGGTGCATATGGCTGGTGGAAGCTCCACTAACTGCATCAGCTCACATGACAAAGTTTGTCGCACAAATTATACACAGATCGAAATTGGGGCCAGCTGGAGGAACCTGCAGACTTACTCTGTGTTAACGGGTTGCTGGAGCAGCTGCTCTGGGAACTACATATTTATGGCCATGACCTCGCAAATATGCTCAAGTGCTTTGGTTTGACGGCAGTTGGCTTCCCACATTGTCGTGGTGGCTCAATAAATGCGAATGAATTGTGCGCTTTTGACACGCATAAATATTTAAAGCCCTAGTTTATTTAAATACTGTTGTATTTACTCGTCTGAGAGAAGTTTTTATAGGCAATGATTCACAGGCAGTTACTCACTTCCTACTCAGAAGTTACTAGTCCAAAAATAACCACCTGACGAGTTTTAAATTATCTTTGAATTACAAGCCATTTTACCATAATAGTGGTGAACTAGTCCGCCTTCTCTGGTCTATTTTCCTTATCGTGAAGTCCAAAGAGTGCGCGGGGAAAATTATAAGGTAGAATCGATAAAACAAAACAAATATTGACAGAAGTTATTGATTACAAGCGTAAACAGAGCGCCGGCTGAGTTGGCTGCACTGATTTTAAGGCAGCTGATAGTGCCAATAAACACTTTTTGCCCATTCGAACGGAGTGCTTAGTCAGGGTCGGAATGATGACCCTTAGGGAGATAAGATACTTGCTACCGTCTTGGTTTTCGGGCATGGAACCTCTGCCAGTATCTGGGTATTAACTAACCACAAATTTACGTGTGGCAGGGCGTTGCCTATCTGCTGTTGGTATTATAAGCATGAGGAAGACCCCGAAGATAAGAATCGATGTCTGGGTTTGGTTTCAGTTTTCCCACAACTTTGCTGCCATCTGCACAACTTTACTAGCTCTCGGTTTTTTTACAGAACCATGAACCTTTGCACCAAATTAGAGGCATAAGCGATTCTTACGTGAAATTGTTTTTTAAAAAGTTGCAAATTTACCTACGTTGATTACACATTAATGGTGGACCGCAACAGTGGAGTTCACTACGAAAGAATGCCGACTGTTACTTTCAGGTAAAGTTGACAAATAGTATGAAATTTATGACAATTTAATGTGGTGCCTAAATCAAAATAACCTAATAAAGAACTTCCCAATTGGTTAACCATAAGTGATCGTGAACTATTAACAAAATGCGCTCTAATCCAGATACTCAAACTTGTGAATTTTCGTTGTATATTTTGCTAAATAAATATGGCATAACATTTACACCTAACTCGACTTGCCATTTCGACTTCAGACGCTTTATAGATGTGTTAGGTCTTTCATAATACTATTATTTTGACCAATATGTTAACACTTGTCACGTATCTTTCTTTGAAGCTGATGAGTCAGCCTCCTGGTTTTTCCAGCTACCGTTTTCACCAACTTGAACAAGTTTGGCAAGCCGAATAAGTGAATCATGTGGTTAAACATAAGCGTTTCTCGAGATCTGACCCAGTAACTAGCCAATCTGTAGATAGTACAGATATGGGAGGGCAGCGCTTTTTACAACTCTGTATATACGATAATTAACAACATTGACGAGCTTGTTGCGATGACGTGATACATCGATCGTTACAGATTTCAAAACAAATTTAAATACCCAGTGGCAAAGACACTATGTACAGCAGGCGGTACATGATGAAGTGCCAATGGGCTAATAAATTAGGGCAATAATAGGACTGCAATAGATTTATTTACAGACACGGATCACACTGATACTCGTACGGTAAAAATAGCAGGCTAATAATGACGCTAATCAGTTAGTCAAATATCGTCTGCCCGATAGCTCCGACAATTGGAGTAAATGCCTCAGAAAGCCTCAGTCTTCCCACTGACACGAGTCTGTAAGGGCGCGGAAAATCGCGGTTTAGAGATCGGTGTTCGCGATCCGTCTGATTTCATAAATTAAACTGCGACGCGGCCCGGAAATGTCGCTAATTAACTTGAAATCGAAAGACATGTACGACGAGCCCATTAACCTGTGGAGGACCAAACAACGCGTCCATTACCACCACGATGTGATATCCAAGGGAAACGAGTTAGTTTCGCATTCAAATCTCCACTGCAGGGCACATATACACTGCCAGCTTTGGTCTATGGAATATCTTTATCTGAAGATAGAGATAACCATGAGTAGTTCCCTTATTTGTAGCAGACTAGATTGTAGATAGATAGTAGATTTTTCCATTCTGAATATTTCAAAGTATTATATCTTATCACAGTGGTTCGCCAAACCCTATAGATGTCATTCTGCGACATTAGCTCTGTTTTGGTGAAAGCCCTGGCTCAAATTGCAGACACTGATTGCAGGCAGCAAAGGGAAAACGTGATCACTTAATGTTTATGTAAACACCCAGAACTTATCTACCCCTTGATTGATGGGACAACATGCCCCCTTTTATCTGTCCACTTATGTACAAATTAGAGGCATTTCCGAAGGAACACGCGTGGTTCTTAGCCAGCTGAGTGATAATATCTCAATTGACGCGCAGAAATCGATCAAAAACCCATCAAAGCTGCGAAATAGCTGAAAATGTGTGCGATTCCTTCAGGGTCAGCTTGAATACCACATTTTGATAGTACCAGCCCAAAGTGGGAATGGAAAATTCAGTTCATCGGAAAGCATTGAACCTGTCGGGTTGCGTGTATATGTGCCACTCGCCGGAAAGTTAGATCTCCAATATCCTTATTTCGTTCCCTGAATAGTAGCCACAGATCCTCCGATGCCTGCGAATACATAACCATAACTGCGCCAAAGAAGTCGGGTTCGTTCTCGAGATCCCCGCCAGGCTCGCTGCCCACTTCGGTACCCGGTACACCTCGTCACTCGGTGGCCGCCACCTCGAATCAAGTGATCCGTTACGCCCGCACGTCCTGTGATCACTGCGGGCACCACAGCATTCCGGTCATGTCGCCGCATCCCATCTCTCCGCTGGCCAAGTCGCAGACCAACCTGGATCTCGTGGAGCACGCCAGCCAGCGCCAGGCCCTGCTCCCGCTGCCCACCATCGGGATGCACCACGAGGACTCCGCCTGCACCTTGCAGGTGTCCCGCCGGCCTTCGCTGCTCCTCCAGGAGATCCTCACCCAGCGACCGCCGCTCTTCGGGCGCAGGGATGGCAACGGCTTCCTGTCGCCAAGGACTACCAAGAATGGGTACATTTGGGGTTCCCTAACATAACAAAGTCTTCTAACTAACCAATATTATACATTTTTATTTTTTATATCGTTTTCCCAAATTGGCGTCTTAACTCATACATACATATACACTCTTGCTAGACCTTCTGTTGCTAATACTACGTAACATCTGAATGTTTTCCAGTAACCTGCAGGGAACAGCGAGCGGCAGCACAGCGACCATAAACTTCCAGAGTGGAGCCACCAGTGCCAGGAATGGATCCACCGCCTTCTTCGACAATGGGGCCAAGAGCTTTCAGGCCAAGCAGCAGAAGGAGAAAAACCGACGCACTGGCAAGTGAGTTGTACAAACTAACATAAAGTTAAGTGTACTTCTACTTGGTAAATGTATCTCCTCAGCGATGCCATAAGTTCGGCGCTGTCGGCCACCTATTGCAAGCTGTTGGTACTACTCGGCGTTTGTCTGCCGATCACGGAAGTTATATCCGATCAGATACCGACCTACGTGTACCAGGGGTTCTACGTATACCTCTATGTGGGCAGCATACTCTTTGTGGTCTTCCTGTACATCAGTGCCTTCCGAAACCGATCGCTCTTCAATGCCCTCAAGGACTTTCGTGAGCTATACAGGAATTCTTGATGTAATTGGATCAATATAAATACAATTGTCCTGTGTTTGCAGACGAAAAGAACAGCAATGTGCATCTGAAGCACAAGGTGACCCATTTTGGCAGCTTTTACCTGAGAGTGGGAGCCATCGCCTTCGCCATTGGAACTATGGTGTATTCGGGACTAGAGTTTGGCCAGTTCTTCGAGCTGAATGGCCATCCCGGCTGCCGGGATGTCTTCGTGGCCATCACACCCATCTGCCGGATGGTACTGTGCATCGCCCAGGTGCAGTTCATCTTCCTGAACACCACCTACATGGACATGGCGCGGCACAAGGTGACCTCGCGCTTCGGCCTGATGCACATGGTGGCCACCAACTTGTGCGAGTGGCTGTACGTCCTGGTGGAGGAGACCAAGCACGAAATTTTCCACATCGGACAGCACGAAGTGGATCCCGCCCACGACCTGGTCATGCACAACAGCTCCATGAGCAGAACGGACTGGTCCGCGGTCAATGAGTCACTGCATCAGCATCATCGCCATCATGCGCCCAGCACCGCCGTGCTGGCCAACGTGAGCTCCGTAATCGCGAATATGACCATTACTCCTTCGCCCACGCCGGCTGCCTTCAGCGGCTGTTCCCGCACCACGATTATGGGTGCTCTGGTGCAGCAGCTCTCGCCATTCCTGTTCCCCTGCACCATCGAGTACTCGCTCATTTGCGCCGTAATCCTCTTCGAGATGTGGAAAACTGTCAAATCGATTCCGGACATCGACAAGAGCCGCAAGAATTCCGTGAAGCCCGCGGCCGCCAAGCCTGCCCATCACTTCTCCGTGGACTGCTCCCAGTCGCACAAGGGCCTCTTCTTCGGGATTCTGATCATAGTGATGACCATTATCTCCATGATCATGTACTTCGTGCTGTACACCCAGCCGGGCTACGAGCTGGTGGCCACCCAGGAGGTCACTCTGTGGGAGACCTTCATGTACTTCATGTGCGCAGCGGCTGTGATAACGGGTGAGTGGATATGCAAGCTGTTGTGTGGACTCACCTGCATCGATATTCATCCTTTCCAGGCATGATCCTCATGCGCGATCTGCGCTACATCAAGAACAACAGCGACGAGCACCACTCAATGGATTTGGATAATCTCCTGCTGATTGTGGCCCAGACCGGGGTGTACCTGTACGGAATGTTCAGCATCCTGGGCAGTTACTTCGCCAAATGGGACACCGTGCCCGACCGGGTGGAGGGCATTGTAGCGGAGGTCTTTGGAGTGGTGCAGACCTCGCTGCAGACCATGTTCATCCTGCACTCCAGCCATCGGCGCTGCAAGGGAACCAGTCAGGTGAGAAGGAAGCCGGGCAGGGAGATCATCACGTTCCTGCTGGTGGCCAACATTGCCATCTGGTTCGTCAACACCCTGATCAAGGGACGAGCCGTCTTCAGGGAGAGCCATCTGGAGTTCTTTGGCGTCTGGGGCTGGACGATCATCACCCACATCTCCATGCCGCTGGCCATTTTCTACCGCTTCCATTCGACCATTTGCCTCTTCGAGGTGTGGAAAATCACCTACAAGGCCAAGGCGCATTAGTGGCTAAATCGAAACTGTTGATTAGTTTTACAGCTTTCATTTGAATAAGTTAGTTTAAAACCCAGCCGACTACTTGACTTAACTAACATTAGTTAATTTATGCGTAGGTGCGAAACTTGTTGACATTGCTAGCACAAAATAAAGATTTATTTATTCAGCAAGATGGTTTGTTAAAGCTATCATTTATATTCCTTTTTTGTGGAAACCTTTAACGCATATTTAGTCACGCTATTTTTACGTGACAATTGTTTTCTTTCTAGTTATCAGTTGAGGTGTCAATAGATTAAACAGTTGTTACGTCGCGCTTGCCTAATTTCAGTTGACACTTCAAATTGGTAACACAGTTTAATCAGCTGAAAGTGAAATTATAGTTATAGCTCATTAAATTTGTGGTAAACACATCGCTGCTCCCATTATTCAATTGATGCCCTTACAAATTACCTTTATCCATGAACCTCGTAAGAAATCGCGTGCTCCAAAAGCAAAATCAGGTATTCGTGTATCAAGTTTATCGTAACGCACATAAATCTTGAGCCGCACAATTGACAAATCGGCGTTTCCGTTTCCTGTTGCGTGTGTACCGCTAAGAAAAATGTCAAAAAGGGCGGCTATTGAAAGGATGTGAAAGGGGATTGTGTCATGGGCATACATTTGATACGCCCAGAGTACTGGGAATGCCATTGATGTGTGCGGGTTGTTTTAGGCAAAGGACCTTCGAACGGAAACATTAAGGTAAATAAAAAGGTATCGAACCGTGAAGCTGATGAATTGGCGCATTTAAATTATGTATTTATGTGGAAATCGGAAAAATTGGTATTCAGGTGGCCTACACAGCGATAATAAACGGGCAATTCGGGGTTAACAAATCGAGTGATGTATGGCTTTATCACGTCCTTCCGCTCAACACGTGATGGGAATATCAATAAAAAATGTGCAAAGCCAAACAATCAATTTATTCAGCAGAATTTAAGCCACTGATACTCTGACCTGCCATTATACTTCATAATTAACATTAAAATAAAAGGAAGCAGAAGGCAAATTTGAGTTTTAAATAAAATTCCCCTCACGTGCTGAGAAACTTAATGCCAACTCAAACAGAGGATGAAACTCACGTGTTTCACACGTGACTTTCGCGTATTAAAAACGCAATTATCGAGCAAATATGAGAGACGCAGAGATGCCAGCAACAGTAAATAAATATCGTCTTAAATAATATTTGCCTGGAAAGAACACAAATTTGAATAATTTTCCATTTCAATGCGGTGGTACTTTAAGATGTTTATTTTAAGATTTCACCGAACAATGGTCAGATATGTGATTTCCATATTTGCACTAATTTTAAAGTCTCCTTAAACTCAAACAGCCATCACAATTAGAACCCAATCGCAACTTTCAGCAGTCACGTGATAATCGCTGGTAAAAGAGTAAAAAACGAGCAAGCGGTGAATGGAGGAAACTAATTAGAGCACTGCGAAGCGAATTGAAGCGGCACAACATTCTCCATTATAATTTAATCTAGAGTGTAAATAACTGCACAGACTACCGGCTGGAGATCAAGTTCAAGACGAAACAACTCCATTACATTGGGATTTCGCGGGCGGGGGCAATGTCAACAGACTGCCACGATGGTAAACATTAATAAATCAGCTGAGAAAAATTGCAGTCGATGGCGCTTCTTATGATGCCATCACCATTGCGCCGCACCGACAATTCCAGATGTCAACCACTGCCCCCCAGCCGGAAAATAGAAAATGGAATCGGGAAAAGAGCACGAGCGAAGGACTTGTAAATGAAAATGACGCGGAAGCGCTAAGGACAATGACGGACGTCCACGTCGACGTCTAGGATGACGAGTTTTCAGTTTTCAGTTGTCAGCTTGAGGCTGATGGCCTCCCAGGCGCCTTTTCCCGCCGGAAATGACATTGCCATGGAGTTGACACCGCCAGCGGAAACGGAAATTTAAAAACAGGGCAAATGGGCCAGCAAAGCGGGCAAACAACCGACAAATGCTAATCAAGATGGGAAGTGCGGAAAAGACTCTGGAATTATTGAGCTACGATAAATGTACTTTTAAGTTTTCGATAATTATTAATTATTTATCCGCTTGAATGGATGAAATAACCTACTTTGAAGAATTTGCTACTCCATGACTTGCTAAACTTCATATGGGGCCAAAACTTTGTGCAGTCTTGCTGAGTGAAGTGAATACGGGCAAGTTATTTGAAGCCAAGAAGTTTCAAGTCAGATATTGTTGCCCAAAGTTGCAGCTTGCCAGCTGAAAGCTGATGGAAACTTGCGGATACACGGAGTGGAAATCTATCAAAATTGCATGAAATCAATTGGCAAGAAATTTAGATACAACTGCAACTGAAAGCCTGACAAGAAATGTGCGTTCTCTAAGAGCATTCAAGCTGCAACAAAAACCCAGTAAATGGAAATAAACCCATTCACTCCCCATCAAATGAAACCGAAGAGGGACGAGCATCACGTAGATCAAGAGCATTTTTCCTGTCTTGAGGACAGAGACTGAAACAAAACGTGTTGCTGGTGGAAAATCCTTTGCGGCTCCCCTGTTTTCCCTCCTTTTGCACCCCAAACACGTAAGCCACGCACACGGATGGCCAAAGACATTAGGACGACACAATTAACCTTTTTAAAGGAAGATGTCAACAGTTGCTGACGGGTTGTGGTGTCATGGGTTTGGGTTTGGGTTTTGGGGTTGCAGCTTAAAGGGCAGCGAAACAAAGCTTGTGTAATAATTTAATAGGGGAGGTAAGTAAGTTGTGTGCTGCTCAAAATAAATAATATGTATTATGCTCACTAACAATAGTTATCCATGTATAATCTGTACTTGTGAATTGCTCATCTTGCCAGGGAAATTTAATCTCAACGTTTAATTTTTTGCAAGCACGGTAAGACAAGAATTTGAAAATTGTTATAAGCCACCAAGGACACCTTAGGGTACTTTCAATTTGTTCCCAACGACGTGAACGAGGAACTCCCTTTCAATTTGCCACAAAGCAAGCACATGGGATATTTTCCCACCCGGAAAGCATACAAAACACTGTTGAGTAGGTAACGTAATATTTTTTGTTGAGTAGAAAATTAAACAGAAGCTTATCCCGGCGACGAGCTGACTGACATATCATATTGCAATGTGATGGTAATAAGATGACGTTAAAGATTGAAATTCGCGGAGCCCAAATCGACTTAAGAGTAGACAGGCAAAGATAGTCGCAGCTATTAAATTTAAACGAATCGTGCAAACTGTGCTCTAATTGGATATTAAACTGGAACCGAGCTTCAGCTGTATGTGGCAGTGGAAATTGTCATCTTTGCAATAAAAATTTAGTGGCCATATCTAGATATTGCAGTTATTTTTTATATCCGCATTTTACGACAGTTGCCCTGTTCTCTGGGGGCTGGAAAACAATATTCAATTGCGATGCAAGAAATGCGCAAAGCTGTCAATCATTGTCACGGCTTTTTATTTCCGTGCCGTAACACATGGCGTATGAATGATTGGCGGAGTAGGTAAACTATGGATATGAGTAATGAAATAAAAGCAAATGCTGCAAATGACAATTCCAGAGTCAATAAGCCGCGCACAAATCCCAGCAGCCGAATAATGAAAACATATCCTTAGCAACCACACAAAAGCTCACTCGTATATCAATTTTATGGGCGGAATATAACTTTCTCAACGTGTGAAAAATCGTAGATGGTAAAAACAAATCAATGCGCTGCCGGAAAACCCACCGAAATAATTCCTCTTATCTATATACATTCTGTAAGAAAAATGTGGCGAGTATAGTAATATTTATACTCTCAAATGCAGCATAGAGACGCAAATGTTCGCCAAACTTGGCTTTTTCATTTCGGCCATTGTTCCAAGCCATTGACTGATGGAAGTTTGATGGAAGGTCCACATCACGTATTCGCCCCAGGGGACGTGCCAAAATTGAAACTTTCGTTGGTCAACAAATGTGACACATTTGGAGATTTATTCTTTAAATGGTTGTTTGGTTTCACAGCAGCTATGAGGGGGTCAGATAACCAAAAAAGCAATCTGAACACGATATTTATTGTGCATAGTGGTACACGGTGGTTAGGATTCAAGTATTTAATATCTTCAACGAATGTCCATTTCGTGTTTCCTTCTGTAAGTCACCTGGTGGCTGTCGCGGCTGCTGCTCCGAGCTCAACTTCTTCATCATCCTCTTCCTGGCCAACAAGGCCTTCTCCTTGGGCACCATATTGGACACTATGCAGCTAATTGTCTTGATTTTCTCGCTGTTCTCAAATGTTGTATCGTAGCTTATCGCTTCACTAAATGACTGTTTTCTTTTTTTTTGGTTCGATGTCGACGGCACAGGATTCCTACTTCTAGAAGTAGACTCCGTACTTCCCGTACGACTAACTTGAGGCGCTTTTGATTCATAAGTGGATGCAACATCCGCAGACAACTTTCGTTTTCTGCCCACTCTTTTCTGGACTGGTGGTGACTGAGTGGCATGTTTTTGTTTAGAAGTTTTCTTTTGAGCGACAGGACTATTGGGTGCTGTTTTAGATGCATTCCTATAAGACCTGGAGGACTTGGAGTCTTCACAAGGAGTCTTTGAATAAATTCGCTTGGAACTAGTCCTCGAGTCCTTGGCAGTCTTATGCCTAGAGTTTTGTTGTGACTCCGAGTCAGATGGAGTGATGTCTCGAGGTTCTGCCACTGACTTCCGTGAGCTTCTAGACCTTGATGAAGACAGTTCTTCTGGGAGCTTCGGTTTTTTAGCTGGAGTCTTGCGAAGATCTGGGCCTTTTGCCAAACTATTGCTAGGACTACGATATCTCGATTTCCTTCTTTCCGCCCTTGCCCCTTTTGCCCTCGATTCGTTTTCCACTTCTGGCTCAGTAGACTGTGATTTTTCTTTTGACTTGTGATTGTTTTTAGAGTCACTGTCATTGTTCAAAAGTTGCGTTTTGTCTCGACACTGAAAAATTGGAGCATTATAAATTGCACATTTTATTTATTAACTCATAGCCTTACCATGTAGCTAACGTAAGTCTTTGCCAGCTTATCATTCGATATAATGGGCAAAAGGTGTATGGCGAATGCGTTTGTGAGGGCGGTGAAGTTGCCACACTCATCGCAACAGTATCTGGAATCGGGTCGTGCGATTAGGTTGCAAAAGGCTGTGAAGCACGTGCCCTTCTTTTTGCCGGATGGCTTGGGAACTTGCTGTGCCAACTCTTTAAGCAAGTCGCATTGAATTCCCTTCGATTCGAAGGTCTTTTCGAGTGGTTTCAGATCTAACTTTTTATCTTTTTTAGCCGGTTTTGGATCATCCTCTGTGAATTCATCCACTGGCTTTGGATCCTTTTTCTTCGCAGTTCTCTTTGGTCTTTGATCTACTGCAGTTGGCTTATCGGGTTTTTCTTTAACACCATCCACCACCTTCACTGCTTCCTGGATCTCTGTCTTGCTGGATTTACCGCGACGTTTTGGAGTCTTTGGTGCAGGAGTTTTCGGAAGGGGCGCCTCCGCAGGCTCCGGGATAAACGTGGATTTCCTGCGGGGTCGCTGTCTGACCCCGGCTGAATTGATAATTCTGGCCTTTTTTGGAGTTTTCGGCATGGGATCCGAGTCCCTCTGAGCTCTGGCTGTGCTTGGTGGGTTCGCCTTATAGGTGCTCTTTAATAGAGGATTTCTGCGGCAACATTCGCCGCAGTAGAAGGTGTCGTGCTGTATCCCGATATCTTCGGGCATTCCGATGCAATCTCCGTGGAACCACTCGTTGCAATTGTCACAGCATCTACACAGGATCGGATACAGCGGTTAGGGGCAAGAATGAAGGACAGCAGCTACCTACATCATAAATCCGTTGCTGTGGCTCTGGCGACAAACGCAATACACATCCTCGGAGGATAGCACAGGTTCGGCTTCCTTGAGCACCAGGTTCGCGTTGGAGGAGCTTATTATATATGCGAATATATCTCGATGTTAACGTGAGTAACTTACCTTTACAATTATTTTGTGAACTGGTGCCATTTCTGATCTCTGAGTTCTGATTTCCGAATGTCATTCGCTCGAGCAGAATATTTAAGTGTGTGCACAGCTATTTCAGCTTTGACTGCTATGGCTGGCCTGCTTTTCACTTTTCACTTTTTTTATTCGATATTAAAGTGTGTCCCCCGATTGGCGATTGCATCTCGAGCTCAGCGAAACAAAAACCACGCCACAAAATATTTTTTATTGTATTTCGGTCCCTCAGAGCACTAAAAATTCAAGCAACTTCGATGTGCTCCAGTGCAATTGCAACTCCATTTCCATCAGACTCTCTTTGGGGCATGAATTATTTATTTACGAGTGCACATGGTGCAATTTTGTACTACCAGTTCACTGCCTGGTTCATTTTCAATGAATTTTGTTAGGGGTACTTGCGAACTGGATCTCTGGAGCCCTGGTTCATCTGTCATAACTGACAGTTTGAGCTAACAAATATTGTGTTCCACACTAAAGATATCTTCAAATTGAATCGAAAATGACAAATTGACGCCATCTGAGAAGGTGCTGGTTGGATGGGCTGTTAAGAAGCCATCATAGACCCATATTAAAAACGAGATTACATTGCAGAGTCAGTGGGCATTTAATTATTTCACAACTTCTGCATGTAGTTCCTTATCGCATTTAGTGCTTGTGCAAGCAATTAATTTTCTTGTTTGCCCACATGGCCAACAATTTTTGGAGAACCCTTCTGCTAATGCTGTTTTTATGCCCAAAGTGGGTGGGCTGTTCTATCTGGTTGCCCCACTCATTGTTTTTCTTTTTTAGGATTTTTCGAGCTCCATCCCAGTGGAGCCATTAACGTTTTTCCATCATGTGCCTGGTTTTTGCAATTTAGATAGTTGAATTGCGCCATTGCTGCACTTCGCACAGCGCGAAAGTTTGATGGAATTTAAAATTAAATAAAATTCTCCCAAATTCCCAGTTAAGCTTGCGTGTAGTACTCCCCAAATTAGGCATTTATAATACATGTGGACTTAAAAATCAGCCCTTTCAGGCAGGATTATTGGTTACCTGGCGCACACCCAATTAGCTGACTTCCGATCGAATAAAGTTGTTTCCCTTTTTTCACCGCATATCGCATATTTCCTGCCAGGAACAATTAACCCACTCGATTTTATGTCACAATCGCTCCGGTTCGACTTGTGCATCGCCCCCAAAAAAGTGAGTTGGACGTGGCACGAACAACATTTACATATGGCATTTACACTTATCAACATTATGTTTGGCGACGCCTGTTTGTGGTTATGTGGCACACATTCGGGCTAACAGTGCGTATGAATAATTGAATATTCCTTGTTTTTGCTCGCCGTTTTTTGCAGTTGTTTGATTAATTGTGCACACGCCGCGTGTGTTCGTGCTGGGTAAAAAACGAGATGGCTTCATCATACTTTAAGGCCGGGACAGCAGATGAATACAATTGCATTTTGACCACAGAGCGACGGCTTCTGACCTAAAAAAGAAAACGATTGACAGGTGCACAAAACGAATGTTAAGGCTCAAAGGCAGCAGCACAAAAACCGTATACAATATTGTGTAAACATGGCTTACTCAAAGCCGAAAATAGTACGATTTATGTGGGGAAATGGCTACTTAGATGGAAAGGCTACAAAAAGTAGAAATTCAAAAATGTCCCAAGACTGAAGTTCTAAAGTCCATAACTCAACTTATCTTAATCGGATTTTGATGTGGCATACCTCAAAATGTTTCTGGAGCAATTCTCTAAAAATCTGCATTCAAATTTGAAAATTTATTTTTTCAAAATTTTTTTGTTATTTTACTGATGTTATGATATTGTAGAAATTCAAAAATGTCCCAAGACTGAAGTTCTAAAGTCCATAACTCAACTTATCTTAATCGGATTTTGATGTGGCATACCTCAAAATGTTTCTGGAGCAATTCTCTAAAAATCTGCATTCAAATTTGAAAATTTATTTTTTCAAAATTTTTTTGTTATTTTACTGATGTTATGATATTGTAGAAATTCAAAAATGTCCCAAGACTGAAGTTCTAAAGTCCATAACTCAACTTATCTTAATCGGATTTTGATGTGGCATACCTCAAAATGTTTCTGGAGCAATTCTCTAAAAATCTGCATTCAAATTTGAAAATTTATTTTTTCAAAATTTTTTTGTTATTTTACTGATGTGATGATATTGTAGAAATTCAAAAATGTCCCAAGACTGAAGTTCTAAAGTCCATAACTCAACTTATCTTAATCGGATTTTGATGTGGCAGACTTCAAAATGTTTCTGGAGCAATTCTCTGAAAATCTGCATTCAAATTAGAAAATTTATTTTTTCAAAATTTTTTTGTTATTTTACTGATGTTATGATATTGTAGAAATTCAAAAATGTCCCAAGACTGAAGTTCTAAAGTCCATAACTCAACTTATCTTAATCGGATTTTGATGTGGCATACCTCAAAATGTTTCTGGAGCAATTCTCTAAAAATCTGCATTCAAATTTGAAAATTTATTTTTTCAAAATTTTTTTGTTATTTTACTGATGTTATGATATTGTAGAAATTCAAAAATGTCCCAAGACTGAAGTTCTAAAGTCCATAACTCAACTTATCTTAATCGGATTTTGATGTGGCATACCTCAAAATGTTTCTGGAGCAATTCTCTAAAAATCTGCATTCAAATTTGAAAATTTATTTTTTCAAAATTTTTTTGTTATTTTACTGATGTTATGATATTGTAGAAATTCAAAAATGTCCCAAGACTGAAGTTCTAAAGTCCATAACTCAACTTATCTTAATCGGATTTTGATGTGGCAGACTTCAAAATGTTTCTGGAGCAATTCTCTGAAAATCTGCATTCAAATTAGAAAATTTATTTTTTCAAAATTTTTTTGTTATTTTACTGATGTTATGATATTGTAGAAATTCAAAAATGTCCCAAGACTGAAGTTCTAAAGTCCATAACTCAACTTATCTTAATCGGATTTTGATGTGGCATACCTCAAAATGTTTCTGGAGCAATTCTCTAAAAATCTGCATTCAAATTTGAAAATTTATTTTTTCAAAATTTTTTTGTTATTTTACTGATGTTATGATATTGTAGAAATTCAAAAATGTCCCAAGACTGAAGTTCTAAAGTCCATAACTCAACTTATCTTAATCGGATTTTGATGTGGCATACTTCAAAATGTTTCTGGAGCTATTCTCTAAAAATCTGCATTCAAATTTGAAAATTTATTTTTTCAAAATTTTTTTCGTTTTTTACTGATGTTATGATATTGTAGAAATTCAAAAATGTCCCAAGACTGAAGTTCTAAAGTCCATAACTCAACTTATCTTAATCGGATTTTGATGTGGCATACCTCAAAATGTTTCTGGAGCAATTCTCTAAAAATCTGCATTCAAATTTGAAAATTTATTTTTTCACAATTTTTTTGTAATTTTTCTGATGGGATGATGTAGAAGTTCAAAAATGTCCCAAGACTGAAGTTCTAAAGTCCATAACTCAACTTATCTTAATCGGATTTTGATGTGGCATACCTCAAAATGTTTCTGGAGCTATTCTCTAAAAATCTGCATTCAAATTTGAAAATTTATTTTTTCAAAATATTTTTGTAATTTTTTTGATGTTATGATATTGTAGAAATTCAAAAATGTCCCAAGACTGAAGTTCTAAAGTCCATAACTCAACTTATCTTAATCGGATTTTGATATGGCATACCTCAAAATGCTTCTGGAGCAATTCTCTAAAAATCTGCATTCAAATTTGAAAATTTATTTTTTCAAAATTTTTTTGTTATTTTACTGATGTTATGATATTGTAGAAATTCAAAAATGTCCCAAGACTGAAGTTCTAAAGTCCATAACTCAACTTATCTTAATCGGATTTTGATGTGGCATACCTCAAAATGTTTCTGGAGCTCTTCTCTAAAAATCTGCATTCAAATTTGAAAATTTATTTTTTCAAAATTTTTTTGTAATTTTTCTGATGGGATGATGTAGAAGTTCAAAAATGTCCCAAGACTGAAGTTCTAAAGTCCATAACTCAACTTATCTTAATCGGATTTTGATGTGGCATACCTCAAAATGTTTCTGGAGCAATTCTCTAAAAATCTGCATTCAAATTTGAAAATTTATTTTTTCACAATTTTTTTGTAATTTTTCTGATGGGATGATGTAGAAGTTCAAAAATGTCCCAAGACTGAAGTTCTAAAGTCCATAACTCAACTTATCTTAATCGGATTTTGATGTGGCATACCTCAAAATGTTTCTGGAGCAATTCTCTAAAAATCTGCATTCAAATTTGAAAATTTATTTTTTCACAATTTTTTTGTAATTTTTCTGATGGGATGATGTAGAAGTTCAAAAATGTCCCAAGACTGAAGTTCTAAAGTCCATAACTCAACTTATCTTAATCGGATTTTGATGTGGCATACCTCAAAATGTTTCTGGAGCAATTCTCTAAAAATCTGCATTCAAATTTGAAAATTTATTTTTTCAAAATTTTTTTGTTATTTTACTGATGTTATGATATTGTAGAAATTCAAAAATGTCCCAAGACTGAAGTTCTAAAGTCCATAACTCAACTTATCTTAATCGGATTTTGATGTGGCAGACTTCAAAATGTTTCTGGAGCAATTCTCTGAAAATCTGCATTCAAATTAGAAAATTTATTTTTTCAAAATTTTTTTGTTATTTTACTGATGTTATGATATTGTAGAAATTCAAAAATGTCCCAAGACTGAAGTTCTAAAGTCCATAACTCAACTTATCTTAATCGGATTTTGATGTGGCATACCTCAAAATGTTTCTGGAGCAATTCTCTAAAAATCTGCATTCAAATTTGAAAATTTATTTTTTCAAAATTTTTTTGTTATTTTACTGATGTTATGATATTGTAGAAATTCAAAAATGTCCCAAGACTGAAGTTCTAAAGTCCATAACTCAACTTATCTTAATCGGATTTTGATGTGGCATACTTCAAAATGTTTCTGGAGCTATTCTCTAAAAATCTGCATTCA